GAATGAATGAGAATCTATATTCGTTTCACGAACTTCCAATTATGGTTGGTTATCAAAAACGGGGAAGAGGTACCGATGAAGAAAGTCGGAGACAAGTTGATCCCCAAGACCGAAGACGAGTTTGATGTCGAGGACATCAAAAAGGTCGAGAATTATGCAAAAGCAATAAACATGCTTTATTGTGCCGTAAATCCTGATGACTACCGCAAGATCTCTTGCTGCTCAACCGCCAAAGAGATGTGGGATAAACTTGAGGTGACGTACGAAGGAACGGACCAAGTACGTGAAGCCCAGATTGACTTCCTCACCCAAGAATATGAGATGTTCAGGATGAAGGAGCACGAGAATATCGATGATATGTTCGACCGTTTTTCCAAGATAGTCAACGATCTTCATGCATTAAAGAAGACTTACACCGACAGGGATCTTGTGCGAAAGATCCTACGGAGCTTGACATCCGAATGGCGATCCAAGGCCGATGCCATCTATGAGTCAATCGGCACATCAACTATAGATGGTATACTCGATGCCAGGAGTAAGTTGAATCAAGACTGGTGCCTGGGTCAGGCACTCCTTCAGTTGATCAAAACTGGGCTGGCACGCTTCTGTCCACTCAAATTTGATGTCCTTACGCAGTAGCTTGTTCAATGGAGTAGCGATCGAGGCGAAGCCCTTAACAAATCGACGATAGTAACCGGCTAACCCAAGGAAGCTACTCACCTCACGAACATTCCGCGGAGTCTTCCAATCCACTATGGCTGAAACCTTGCTGGGGTCTACCTGGATATCGGTGGCAGAGATAACATGTCCTAAGAATGTCACCTCACTCAACCAGAATTCACACTTAGACAATTTTGCATACAGCTTGTGTTCTCTCAACACACTCAAAACCAATTGCAAATGTCTAGCATGTTCCTCCTGAGTCCGTGAATAAACCAAGATGTCATCGATGAACACTACTACGAATTGGTCCAAGTATGGTCGGAACACACTGTTCATAAGCTCCATGAACACTGCCGGGGCATTAGTCAATCCGAAAGGCATGACTGAGAACTCATAATGCCCATAGCGTGTCCTAAAAGCAGTCTTCGGAATGTCTTCTCTCTTAACGGGAATCTGATGGTATCCAGAACGCAGATCAATCTTCGAGAATACTGTAGCCCCTCTGAGCTGGTCNGATCCATCTTTCTTTCGAACAAATAACACCGGTGCTCCCCATGGGGAAACGCTAGGTCGGATGAATCCCTTTTCCAGTAGCTCTTGCAACTGAGCCTTCAACTCCTTCATCTCGGCAGGTGCTATACGATACGGTGTAGCAGATATGGGTTCCGTACCCGGAATGAGATTGATCGAGAACTCTACCTCTCTCGGCGGAGGCAAACCAGGTAGGTCTTTGGGAAAGACATCGGGGAAGTCGCAAACCGTACGAATGTCCTATTGACGTGGTGATTCTTTTCGCATATCCTGAACGTGACACAGGAACATCTCGCACTTCTTGCGAATCAAGCGCCTCGCGCTCAAGGACGATATGAACTCGGGAGCCTTGGGGAGCACCTCCCCGGAGAGTGATACGTCGCTACCGTCCTCGGCTCTCAGCCGTACGGTCTGACAACTGCAGTCGACCACTGCTCTATGCTCGGTGAGCCAATCCATACCAAGGATAATGTCAAACTCCTTGTGTGGTAGCTCTATCAAATCTGCAGGGAATTGCTTCCCTTGCACGGACAACGGACACCTATGATAAATGTGATGAAGATGCATGCTATGTCCTAGCGGATTCGATACAACGGTAGGTATCTCAAGGTCACTCCTCACAATCGCAGAATTAGCAGGCATGCCAACACAGATATAGGAGAGCGTAGAACCCGGATCGATCAAGGCATGCATAACCGAATCAAATAGTATGAACGTACCCAAGATAACATCGGGACTAGGATCTGTGCGCCCTTGCATGGCGTAGGTACGCGCTGGTGCACGGCCTGACTGCTGCGAACGTGCTCTCTGCTGATTATTTGCTGCTGTAGACTGCTGACTCCGTGCTGGATGCGATGTGGCACGCTGATCCGGAGCTCTAGGAAAAACAAGCTCGCTGCTAGGGTTTGTCGGGCAATGCCTCCTGAAATGCCCTGGCTGACCACAGCCCAAACATAAGCCTTGGGCGAGCCAACACTCGCCCGGGTGATGCCTACCACACTGTACACACTGCGGGTGGCTCCTCGTTCTGATCGAGTTGCTAGCGGCAGCCGACGGAGACGGCCTCGACTTACTCCTCTTAGGCGGCGGCGCACTCGAAGAACCCTTCTCGTACCTCTTTCCCCCGAATCCAAAACTCTTCCCGCTCGGCCCAGTGCTGGCCGCGGGTCGCGGGTCTTTCGTCGCTCGATCCTCCTTCTTGGTTGCATGCAAATCGTCCAATCTCTTTTCCGTCTTCACGATCAAATCATACGCCGCATTAAAATCTGTCGTCGTGATCAGCGCGGCGTACGGCCTCAAGTCCGGCCGTAGCTTCTTGACGAACTCATTCAAACGATCCTCCGGAGTGGAGACCAGACTCGTCGCATACTGGGAAAGGTAGTCGAACTTCTGTCTCAGTTCAGGCAGTGACATCCCCTCCTGCTTAAGCGCAACGAACTCATCGCGCCTCTCCCCGCGGTACCGGGTGGGGACGTACTCTTTCATGAAGGCTCGATCAAAGTGATCCCAGGTCCACGGCTTGGGTGTGTGTGGATCCTGGTCAATGCGCTTCCACCAATCATATGCTCCCTTCCGGAACATCTGTGACGCCAACTCCGAGCGATCTGCATCAGGGACTCTCAAATTCTTGAGTACCCGGTCCATCTGCTCAAGCCAATCCAATGCAATCTGGGGCTCCCCCATCTTGTCTCCTCGAAACTCTTCCGCTCCATTATCCTTCAACGTCTTGAAGGTAACGATGCGCGGCTGCGGCTGTGGTGGTGGCGGTGGCTGGAACATGGGCATAAGCTGCGCCATGTGCTGCATATAATGGGCCATCATGGCCGGGAACATCTGCTCGTAGGCCACCGGCGGTATCGCCAACGGTGGCATCACTGGAGGTGGCACGACTGGCGGTGGTACAGCTGGTGGCTGTCCCGCTGGCTCAGGTTGATTCTGCTGTTGCCCTCTGTCACCCGGAGGCGTGAAACTCGAACCCTCGGTGTTCATCGTGTGCACGCTCACGTGCTCCGGCTCCGGAACGTACTGACCGTGGGTCGATTCTTGACTCATTCTAAAATAATAAGGAAATTCCCACGTCAGATCTTAACATATAATAGATAAAGCTATAAATACTTATTACCTTCCCGGGGCAGAGGAGTTACGTGAGATGCAGATGCGGCTGAATTATTCATTGTATTTTTTTATTTTGAAAGGGTCCAAAGACCGATTTTAAAACCAAATGCTCCGATACCAAAATGTAACACCCCAACCCGCATGACCCAAACCCGTGAGACAGCGGACCGGTGTGCCACTGGATTGGTATCCGAATTTGCAACATTTTCAAAACAATTTTAAACAAACGTTCTTTCAATACATATAAAAATCCATCGGAGTAATTTAAAATAATGCGGAAGCCTTTTTAAAGTCAAACAACTTGGGATCTTGCCTGAAAACGTAATAAGCATTAAAGTTAATTAAATAAAGCATAATCAACAGATTAAAGAGACAGCCACGCCATCGTACATCTCCTCCTCAATGCCCTCTGGGATCGGCTCTAGGTTCATCTGTCTGATCACCTACGGACAGCAAAAGAAAAACAACGCTATCCGCTCAGCATTGACGCTGAGTGGTACTCCATTGTAGCACAAGAATAAACATAATAATTCAACAATTAGATCGTGCATATGATTATCCTTTTGATAAAAATCAATTCAACTTTATATTCGGTTCTTTAGATGGTTGACCAACAGTCAACTTATTTTCTTTCTTTTCAAAACGATTTAGGTGTTACGGGTTTCTCATGAACTCTTTGACCACTGGTCAAACCAATTTAGACTTTCACCAAAGTCAAACCACTTAACATTTAATGCCTATAACGGAGATAGCCTCAATCTGTAATACCGAAGATAGCCTCAATTCGGTGGAGGTAGGATCCCTCGGGCGATAGCCTCAAACCCAAGATCACAGACCCTCGTGCGCATGTCTTAACCTCACTGACCAGGCCCTGCAGCCGCCCGAGAAATGGCCAGTTTCTATGTTCAACACAATAAACCAATTGACCTTAATCACCGATTAGAATTAATTAATTAACTTAACTAATTCATTAAAGTCCTGGATTTAACCATTCGGTCAAACCTACGTCGACAGAATATCCAGTCAAAGCCTAAGTCAAACGTGACCTAACCCAAGTCAAAGTCAAACTTGTTCAGTCAATTCACAAACCTCAACAATTCAATTCAAATAATCAATTTAATTCAATTAACCAATTTAGCCAAATTATAGCATAAACACATATAACGATCCAAACCATTAAATCTATTCTGAATGCTATTAACTTCATAGTACGGACCTCGATTACGCCGAAATCGAATCGATAGCTCGAACGGAAGACAAATCGACGAAATCAAACGAACGGGTCAAATTGAGTCAAAATACGAAATCGACCAATCAATCCGGCGTGGAGGTTAATCTGCCGGCAATATCAATCCGGGGCAGCGGCTGGATGCGGCGACGGTGACGGATGCCGGCGACAGTGGCGGAGCGGCAGCGTGACGGCGGTGAGCAGCGACTGGCGGCGCTGCAATTCGACGGCGAGGAAGGACGCCGGCAGTGGAGGCGACGTCCGGCAGAACGACGAGGTGAACCGTCGTCGGCGGCGCTGATGCTGACGGCGGACCTCTGGCGGAGGAAGCAGAGGCGGCGACTGGCTGGGGAAGAGCGACCGGCGCTGGACTCGACGGCGATGATGGCGGCGGACTTCCCGGTGAAGACGAAACAGCGGCGATTGGAGACCGTCATCGGCGGCGCTGACCCTGGCTGTAGGCGACGGGGTTCCGGCGACGGTAAGGCAGCAGTGATAGGCTGGTGCGGCGAGGGGGCGGAGGTCTGCGATGCCGGCGTGGTCGAACGGTAGGGGTGGACGACCGGCGGCTGGCTGCTCCAATTAGACGGCGACGATGGCTGGGGAAGACGAAGAAGAAAGAAGAAGAAAGAAGAAGAAGAAGGAGAAGGAGAAGGACGGAAGAAGAAGAACGAACGAAAGAAGAAGATAAGATAATCGTGTGGTAGATAATAGGTTTAGGTTTATTTAATGGTCCCATTCCAAAAAGGATTGGGCTTCGGACCCAAAATACCTGATTAAATGGTCATAACATGAGCTCCATAACTCCAATTCGCGAGCCGTCTGAACCGACGCGATCACAAAAATATTTCCTACGAGATGACATAAAAGTTGGGCTTAGAATCCAAATTATAATTTTAACCCCTTTTTGGGCCCAATTCGTAATCAATTGCTCTAACAATTTAATTAATTCTTTTGGGCCAGATTTCGAGGCGTTACACGTGGGGCTCGAGTTCTCAGGTTGTAACGGTTTGTTAAGAACCCATAAGCTTAACGGAAGTAGTGTAGCTCGAGAGAGTCTCTCGGGAGGCTGGATTAGCCACAAGTTGGGGTGAACCAGGGTAAAATTCGGTGTGCCTCTTACTCTTCTCTTTACTTCTCTTTTAAGTTTTTTATTCCTGCGATTTCTACGATCAACGCTATTCACCCCCCCCCCCCCCTCTAGCGTTGGTCACTTATTCTAACAAGTAGCTCCGAGCAGGTCATGACTCTAGTCTAATGTGAATGAACCTTAGCCAAGTAGGTCAAGTACAGTAAAAATATGCAAGATTTCAATTGAATAAAAGGATGATTAATCATACTGTTGAACATATATTAATGCATGCTAGTCTATGAATTAGTTTTAGTGTAAGATATTTATTCACTCCGTTTTCAGCTGAGCGTGTAGTCTTTGTTGTCTTTAGGGATTGGATGAACAGCTTGGCGATCAGTGATGCTCAATGAAGTGGATGACCTGAAGCTGTCTAAATTTAAATTATTTATTTTGATGAATTCATTTACTTAAACTAAAGGAATATTTGGGATGTTTTTTAAAGGCTTCCGCACTGTTCTCTTTATTACTCCGATAAGACACGTGTTTAAAGTTATGAATGGTTTTGTTTAAATGGCTTGATAAATATTGTGCAGGTGAATACCGAATTGGTAGCAACTCGGTTCTTTAACTCGATGATTCGGGTAACGTGCGTTGGGGTGTTACATGTTGTATGTGACAAACATACGTAAAAACCTTGTTCTAGGCACATGATGTTAGACAAGTTGATATTGAGCAAAAAGGGTAAATTCATATGCAAAGACTATGTTTCTGATGAGCCTTTTAAGCTTAATGTACTCACTATTATTGAGAAAATTAATAATGCTCCTATTGTCTATGTGTGTGCATCTTCCAATTCATATGATGGTGGACTAAGACATGTTAATTATGTATCTCTTTGGAAATTAATTAACATGAAATATATCTCTAAATTTGACATCAAATCGTCCCACAAATGTGAGACGTGTGTCGAAGCAACGTCAACACAAAGTTCGTTTCAAACGACTGAAAGAACTACTCAATCACTAGATCTAATTCGCACAGATTTGTATGATTTCAAAACAACACCTTCAATAGTTGATAAAAATGTATTGTTACTTTTGTAGATGATAGCACAAAATAGTGTTATATTTATTTACATAAAAGTAAAGATGAGGCGTTGAATACTTTCATTCAATATAAGAATGAAGTGGGAAATCAACTCAATTGTAAAATTAAAGCAGTTAAGAGTGATAAGGACATGGAGTACGAGGCTACATTCGCCGAGTTATGTGCAAAACATGAAATCGTGCACCAAGTAACTCTCCCATACACACAACAGTCGAACGATGTAGCAGAACGAAAAAATCTCACTCTCAAGGATATTATGAATGCAATGTTGCTTAGTTTAGAACTATCCCAAAACATGTGGGGTGAGGCTATTTTATCTAACAAATATCCATTAAATAGAATCTCCGAAAGAAATTCGATATGACTCCCTATGAATTGTTGTTTAATAGGAAACATTCTTATAAATATCTAAAGTGTGGGGGTGCATGGCAAAAGTTCTTGCACCACCACCAACAAAAATGAAAATTGGTACGAAGACCATTGGCGAAATCTTCATTGGCTATGGTGGTAGCATGTATCAACTCTTAGTTTATAAGTATGATAGTTTAGAAATTCACAAGAACACGATAATGGAATCGAGGAATGTAACTTTCTTTGAACATATTTTTTTATTAAATTCAAGAGACAAAGCAAGTTTTTCAACACGTTCATCACATGATGAAATGTTGAACAATAGTTACCTGGATCAGTATAACTGATGAAAATAGAGACTGAACCAAAACAAAGTAAAAGGACACGGGCTGAGAAGTCATTTGGTCTTGATTTTCTAACTAACATGTTGGAATTTGAATCAGGAACTCTATACTTTGTAGTCGAGAGTGAACTTGATAATCTAACATGTTTATTAGAAAATGAACCAGAAACATATCGTGAAGTAGTAACTTCGTCTGAAAGCCCTCAATGGAGAGACGCCTTAAAAAGTGAAGTTAATTTTATTTTACAGAATTACACTTGGCAGTTAGTAAATCTATCTCCAAAATGTAAACCGTTAGCTCCTATGTAGATATTTTGGAGAAAAATGAAATCAGATGATTCCATTGATAAGTACACAGTGTAACGCCCAAAAGCACACCCTAAAAGTATTATTGAATTATTATTCAATTAAACAAATTTGTTTCTGATTAAAATAAATTATTATCGGGCTTTGGAAAATATTTGTTGTTCAATATCATGGCTCTGAAATAAATCCAATATGCAGAGATTGAATGTGTGGTCTTGATTAAACACACTAGAGTACAAACTTAAACTAAGATTTGTTTGATTGATGTGAATTCTTGAATGATTTATTGAAATAAATCATTATATTGAATAATACAAATTGAATATGAAAATCTTTTGAATAAAGGATTAATTAAATCAATTTTGACTCTATGAAAGTCAAACACTCAAAAATATGATGTCAGAAAAAGTATTTCACATAAATATGAAAAATATATACTTACGTAGAATTTAACTGACTGATCGCAATGGTGCAATCAGATTTCAATTGGGAGAAAGTTGGACCAAAAGGTATACCCCAATTGGGATAAAAATAATCAACATCAGAGGAAATTATATAATGCCACCCGTTCATAAACGATCATTTGATTGAGTTATGTGTTATAATAATGAAAAATACATTTATGATGAACCAAGAATCATAAACCTTCAAATTGTTGTTAAAGTTTCGAGTTAATTGTTAAACAATGGTCTATGAATGTTAGAGAATATTTTTATAAAGTTGAAATGTGATTTAGGAGGGTGTATTCAATTTGGAGTTTGTAGGATTTTTTTGGACTTTCAAAATCTGGGTGTATTCAATCTAGATTTTCACAAATCTTTAAGAATCCTCTGGTATTCAATAAATATTTAAAAAAGTCTTAAAAAATCTGTAGGTATTGAAGAGTCAATGAATTTTAATACTCCATAGATTTTGTTTGATTATTTCACAAAAAAATGCTTATCTCAAATCCCTCCTCACAACTTCAGATTTCTATGGACTTTTGGACAAAGCAATTGTGTAGACGTAGATCTGATTTGTGCGTGATGAAGGCTATAGCAACAACCACTCTCTCCTTCTCTCGGCGGCGGCTGATTTGCTGGGCAACGACGTCGACCCAAGCTACAGGGGCGACGATCTTTTTTCTATCCTGTAGTGCTTTCTGGATGGTGGCGACCACCTATGTGTATCGGCAAAAGATTTTAATCAACCTAGGCAAATTGAAAGCAAAGCAGACGAATCCTTATTAGGCCTTAAGATGTGGAAGTGGTGTAGCCACTGCTAATGGGAAAACCCCTCAAGTGTATGAACAAGGCATTTACTTCTTACGTTAGAAGAAGAAGAAGAGAGAGGTGCCCTCTTTGTGCCTCAATTCCATGAAATCCATGCAAATCAATACAAAAGTTGGGCAAACTCTACGTGGAATCTATGAATTTTCTAAATCCATCAACTTTTTAGAGTCTAAAACAATTCAATACAATCTCAATTGAATACAACCCCTTAGAAGTTTAAAATGGTATTTTGGAAGTTTGGACCGAGGTTAGAGACGACACTTTATAAAACTCCCGCAGAAACGGTACTAGGATACTGCTAGACGTTACTTAGGTATCGTCCGGACGGTATGCCATACTTTCAGTGATGGTAGCTAGCTACCATCAAAAGTCAAATTTCTCTAGTGGTACTCTATACCATCTAGATAGTACTAGGCTACCATGACGGTACCCTAGTTCCGAGATAGGTATCGTTTGACCCGGAGATTTTTCCTACAAACTTGATTTTTAAGCTGTAAAATTCTATTTTTGATACCATTCAATTATAAATCAATATGAACAACATTTACAAACTAAACATGATTTTTTTGATGAATTTAAGAACCTTTTTTATGCATGATGGTAAGCTAGGGTATTAACACTTGACGTTAGACCTCTATTTGCTATTATGATATTATGTATTGATGATTATTGAACATTGTAATAATAATGATGAATGTAATAAGGATTAGGATTGTCCAAAATATAATCATATGTTTGTATGACTAAAACAAGGATGATTGAGATTATTGAATATTACTATGATGATGATTATGTTCTGAACAGTTTAATGATGATGACATTGATTAATTGATTATTAAGGCTATCTAGAAGAAACTTAAGATAGGCCCCATATAACCAATCTAGTTAGGTCTTGCAGGTATGATGTTCGGTGACTCGGGTTAAAACGTACGTACGAGATCCATAAACCAAACTTGAATATCTATTTGTTTGGGGGTACCACCCAACCCGACAGTGAGTAGCCCACTGTTCGGTTTTCTACCTTAAACTATTTATAGTTTAAGAGTCTGGTTATCTTTTTGTCTTAAACTATTTTATAGTTTAGGAGTATGGTTATTAATATAAATTTGCCTTAAACTATTTTATAGTCTAAGAGTCTGGTTATTAACATAAATTTGCCTTAGACTAGATTCGTCTAAGAGTTGGGCTATTGATTTTGCCTTAGATTAAAAATAATCCAAAAGTCTTATTATTAATTTGGCCTTAAACTAGAAATAGTTTTAGATTATTTAATGAATATTGAAATGTCTTAACCTATGACGAATTAAGAATCTTTGTTGTTAATCTGAAAGTGATATGTTGATTATGATATCAAATAAATGAATATATTGTTGTGTCCTGATGAAATGATAATGAATGGTTAAGAAAATAAAAATTGTGTGACGATGAATGATTGAAATTACCTCTTGCTTGCATGATACCATTCGATTTGATTATGAATTGAGATTCAATTTATGTGGATGTTCGATACATTGAATATCCTTATTCAGCTTCACCGCTGAGCGTGTAATATGTTTTATTTGCTACATGCATGTGTGATTTATGTTAAAGATGGAATGTTCCCTGAGAAGTAACAAGACAGAAGAGATGTACGGAAGTGGGCTCAAACTACTAATCAGTTAAATAAAATTTTGAATGAATGGATTTTGGTAATGATCAAACAATGATATTTTCTTCTGCACTGTTATGAAATTTATGATAATGATTGATAATGATTTGAAAAATATATTTTCGATTATTGTTGGGAAAAATATTATAGATTTTGATGATGATTTATTTAGAATGTAATAGGGACTTTAGGTCTCCCCCAATATTCAATGTAATTTTTCTTTTTAGAAATATTGTTAAAACCAAGTTCTTGAGTTTTCCAATAAAACTGTGATATTTCTTTAAGCGTTTTGATGCCTGAAGACTTGATCAAATTCAGTGATATGAAAATTGGATATCTTGATCGGAAGTGTCAGAGACAAGTGAGGATTTCTCAATCAGATAAAAATCCTCAGATCCGGAAGACTACATAAGAACCGGATGTCTCGCTACAACCCGCTGAAGGCTAAGTCATTCAAATCGGAAG